CTGCTGGACCTGAGGAAAGGCACAGGGGCTCCTCGATGGGTACAGTCCTGGGACCACTTTTTCCTCGTGGTGAAACTTACTGTGAGTGACGGAAGGGGTCCACAAGACAGAGGAGGGGCTTATGAAGCCCGCAGAGACGCCACAGGACACTGCCTGAGACCCGTTTCCGTGCTCAGCAAAGCCGTGCTGTCATAAATGCTCAGGTGTGACTCATCAGTCTCTGCATGCATGGCTGACCTGCCGCCCAAGCTGCGCGTCTTTGTTACTGTTATGGTCTTAGAAAGTAAGAATAAATTTAATCCCAAGCCAAAGCCATATATAAGTTCTTTTCATTCACTAAAATGTTTCTGAAACTACTTTTGATTTTTGTCATTCCTCAAATATACTTCATATTTCCCCTCTTTAAAAACAGTGATGCTTTGTTTACCTGACACATGGCCATAATGGGGACGATTCCAAATTGCTAGACTGTGGTCTCCAATGTTTCCTTCTGCCCTGCGTCCTTTTCTGCCTTAGGATTAACTCAGAGTCTGGGACCTGCTTTGCTTTGATTTGACACATAAAAACCATCAAAAGGTTTCGCGACATCTTTAGCAGCCTTGAGCGGCATTCCTTAAGCACTCCCTGTCTTTGAGGTCAGCTCTTGATTGTATTTAAGTAGTGTGGCGTGAGGAGTTTTTAGTTTTTAGTACCATTTGGTTGTGACGAGTGTCCTTGGGCAGCTTACGACCTGCCCCTCTCTCTTCTGTATCACGGGTGACCGAGGGGATGGGCACCTGGCCTTGCACCTGGAAGGAGTAGTGAGACGGTCCGAGAAGCACTAGTGTGGCCTAGAACCGCCGGTGGTGGCCGCCCCTGGCTCTCCAGGTCTGTCCTGGAGCCCCGTTTCCCCGGCGGCCGGTGTTGGGGAGCTGCGCGGTGTACAAGCGTGCTCCTGGTTTCCATGGCAGCCGGAGCTTCATTCGGCCTCGAGTGGCTCCAGCTAGCAGTCAGCGCCGGAACATGTAGAAGGAGGGGAGGGAAAAAATAAGCCTCGTTGCTGTTTAATTAGAAAACAAAACCACCCTCCTGCTCAGCTGACTGTGTGAATCAGGAAGACCACGCGGAGGTCAGAGGTGAAACGTGAGTTGAGCAAGTCTTTGTTTCAGCAAGAGGCGGGTAGCAGAGGGTATTTTCTTCAGGGGCAGTTTGTCCTGTTTTGGTGTCATTTCCTCCTAAATGAGCTTCTGATAATGTGCTTTCTGTGTGTTGGGTACTGTCCTGTTCTTCATATTTCTGTTACAGTAGAAGGTGAAGAGGGACTCTGTTTAAAAGGGAGCAGAAGTACTTCAGCCCTCATGCCTTGCCCCCCACATTTTAGGAAGTACTTTCTACGACCCAGTTGTATAAACTGTCACTAGCGTTTGCTGCTTGAGCGTCAATATACCACTCTACCTATTTTGACCTGGCATCGTGCTGTTAGACGGTACAGAGCGGCAGCGCCCCCACGGAAGGGCAGGTGCTGGCGTGGCATGCGTCGCTGCCTGTCGGTGTTGGTGTCTGTGCGGGCGGGTGGGAAGGGTGCCGGGAGCTCATGCACAGCCGCAGTGGTTCTTGCGGGGATGCCGCAAGAGGGTGCTGACCGGTGGAGGCGAGCCGAGCCTCCCCCTGGCTCCTTAGGGAGTGGTCTGGCTGTTGCCCCCACTCACTTCACCCCACAGTCCCGCTGTCTGTTACCGTTCTAAGAGACGAGGTTCTCTGAGGTCTGGGCAGGTCTGCGACCGTGGGAACCTGCAGCTGAGCCCTGTCCCAGTGGCCCAAGGGATTCCTGGCAATTCCGATGTTTTCCTTTGCAGATGGAAAGGTGGCTTCTGGAAGTGGGTAAGCTAGCAAAGTCAGCCCAGGCCCCTGTGAGTGGGTAGCGTTCACCTTGCACTTGGCCTGTTGCCTCAGCACCTGGAAGGTCAGTGTCCTTGGACGCCTCTTGGTGCTGCTCCAGGAGACCTGTGCTCCCGACACAGCTCCCTGCCTGGTGTGCACGGCTAACCCAGGTTAGCCCTGTGTGCTGGGCGTGGGCCAGAGTGGGTGCGTGCACTTGTCCTGCCAGTCTGACCCTGCATGGGGCCTCCAGCTGAGCTAGCGAAGCACTGGAGATGACTACGCCCTGTCCTTCTAGGCCAGCGGTTCTCAACCTTCCTAAGGCCGCGACCCCTTAATACATACAGTTCCTCATGTTGTGGTGACCCCCAACCATAAACTTATTTTCGTTGCTACTCTATAACTGTAATTTTGCTACTGTTATGAATCGTAATGTAAATATCTTTTGTTTTCCGATGGTCTTAGGTGACCCCTGTGAAAGGGTCGTTCGACCCCCAAAGGGGTCGTGACCCGCAGGTTGAGAGCCGCTGTTCTAGGCACATCCCATCATGCTCTCTGCCTGGCCCCCGGGTCATGGTCTGGCAGGGCAGGAATTACAAGTGCAACCGCGGTGGAGCTCTGATGGGGCCGTGGGAACCCGAGGTGGTCCCCCCGGCTCGAGGTCTGGGGGGACGAACAGGAAGCCCCTGGGCTGGCGGGAGGCCTTTGGTATCTGCGATTTGCCACTGAGAAAGCAGGCCCCTCAGAGGCCTCTCAACTGCTCTAGGACAAGTTCCCTGGACTGCGCTGGTGTCCCCCGGCAGCAGGCGGGTGGGCGACGGTGTGGAGGACACCGCCTGTGAGCCTGGCTGTGCAACGCTTCATGCTGCAGGGGCCCAGGTCACACCCTGAGAGCCCCTGGACATCAGGCTCAGCTTCAAGTGGAGTCATTCCTGAAAAATTCCACGTGGTGTGAAATTGTGAGCTGCTGGAGGGTGTGGCGACTTTAAAAATGGTTCATAAGTAGTGTAAAAAATCATCTGCGCTGTTCACCAGCGTTGCCACTCCGGTTTCTGCCTCCCACTCAGGGGAAAAGGGGTTTCCTTTGAGCTCCGTGGTTATCTTGCTCCTCTCTCTAAAAGGGAGGAGTTCAAAAACCAGCTTTCTGTTTTCAGTGCAGTGATCGTGGGTTAGCTCGGGCTCTTCATTCACCATTTATTCATTCATTTCTTTAAAGCCACCTGGGTGCCTGCACTGGCTTGGTGCTGGCCGTGCACGGTGGTCCGAGCACCTCCTGCCCTCAGCGTGTGGTCAGTGAGTGGACAGGACGGGCGGCTGCTGTGTGCCTCCTGTGGGAAGCACCTCCTCCCTTTACCGGGCTGCCGGGGTGAGAAAACGGTGGAGACGCTGGTGTTGGGAGCTCCCGGGTCTGATGGGGCCTGAAGGAAGTGCTGAGCCCAGTCACCTTGGAGACCACCGGGCTCCCGGGGTCTTGAGAAGCCTGCTCTGAGTTTCTGGTGGAAGGGGGAGTCGCGAGGGCGGGAGTAGGCGCGTGTATGTGAGGGGCCGAGCCGCCACCCTTGGGAGCTCACCATGAGTGTGGGGCGCCCTGCTATGAGGGCCTCGGACAGGAGCCAGCAGCCTGGCTCAGGCCAGTGCAGGGAGGAGCGCCCCCCGCCCCGGGAGGTCTTTCCAGTGGGGAGGGCCAGGGCGTGGGGCTGGACTGTAGTGAACCGGAGAGAAGTCAGGAGAAGGAGCTGCTCCTGCTTGTTACCTGATACTAATCCATCGAGAAATACCTTAATTAGGCTGACTTGTTACAGTGTAGCAATATTTTCATCCCCTCACCCCCCCCCCCAGCCCCTTTCCAGGTCTCCTTGATTCAGTCTCTTCATGCTCAGAGTAGTTTATACCCACATACTCCCTTACACACGTGCACAAAGTCACAGTCGTGTGTGTGTGCACGCACGCGCGCGCGCTCAACACCAGGCTCACAGCAAATTGATCAAAAGGAGTTCAGATAAGAAGGACGAAGGATTGACAGATGCCGTTTGGTTCCTGAGGTGCCCCTGACTGTGTCTTGTGACACAGAATGCACAAAGGCTGGGTTATTAAAGAGACTTGAGTTACATATAGTTAAGCTCCGGATCCTGTATATCTAGAGTGGCAGCATCCCATTCAGACAGGTTAACAGTCACGCTAGGTGACCCATGCAGCCAGGACCCAAACGTAGAACCAGGATGTGTGGCCGTCATGACTGCAGTGAGTGGGGGCGTGTTGCAGGGCAGCCTCTTGTCTCCCCTCCCCCCCCAACAAGGATCTGACTCAGTGGACCAGGGTGGAGCCCAGGAATATGCATTTTTAACACGCTCCCGTAGCCGTCTTGATTCAGGCGGATTCACACACACCCAGTCCATTTGGCCGCCATAGCAGAATCACCAACTCACAAACAGCAGACGTGACTTGTCACGCTGCTCGAGCTTAGGAAGTCAAGAGCAAGGCGCCGGCAGATTCACCAGTTTTCTGTCTTGGGGGGCCCGCTTCCTGGTTCATAGACGTATCCTTGCTGTGTCCTCACGTGGTGGAAGGACCCAAAGCTCTGGGGTCTCTCTCATAATTCACAAGGGCCCCCCCTCATGGGCTAATCACCCCCAAGGGCCCCAGCTCCTGATACCATCACATTGGGGGGTAAGATGCAACATGAATTTGGGGGACACACTCAGACCACAGCACACACTAACCCACACGGATATGGAGGAGCTGTGCGCTTTGGGGACTCCACAAAGTCACACACCTGATTAAACTTATGTTGTTAATTTTGTATAATATCTCCTTAGCTCACATGTCCTAGACTAGAAGCACATGGAGTGATCAGAGGAAACCAACCTGGGTTTCTGCAGGTGACGCACACAATACCTAGAGGCAGGAGGATTGATGGCTAGATCATTTCAGGTACATTCACGTATGACAGCCTCCTGATTCCTTTTTGTTGGATGTTTTTGGTCACATCTTATTTTTTTAATATAAGATCACATTTTTTAAAATTAATAAACTATTTTTTAGAATAGTTTTAAGTTCCCAGCAAAATTGATAGGAAGATACAGACATTTCCCATATATACCCCCCCACACACAAATCCTCCCCATTATCAACACGCCCCACCAGGTGATACTTTAGTTACAATCGATGAGCGACACCGACACGTCGTAACCACCCCAAGTCCGTGGTCTACATTAGGCTTCGCTCTTGGTGTTGGACTCTCTGTGGGTTTGGATACACGCATGATGACGTGTACCCACCATTATATTTCATGCCAGAGTATTTTCACTGCCCTGGAACTCCTCTGCTCCACCTGTTCGTCTCTCTCCCCGCAGACGCTCCTGGCAATGACTGATCTCGTTGCTGTGTCTGTAGTGCTGCCTCTTCCGAACGGGGAACAGCTGGAATCATATGCTGTGTAGCCTTCCCAGGTGGGCTTCCTGCGCTCAGTCACGTGCATTTCAGTTTCCTCCACATCTGCTGTTTCATGGCCTGGCAGCGTATTTCTTTTTAATGCTGAATGATAGTCCAGTGTGTGGATGGATGGACCACAGTTTATCCATTCACCTCCTGAGGGACATCTTGGTGGCTTCAAGTTTTGTCAGTTACGAGCAAAGCTGCTTAAACGTCCATGTGCAGGGTTTGTGTGGACAAGTGTTCGGCTCCTTTGGGCAAATACCAAGGAGCACGACCGCTGGATCGTATGGTGAGACGACGTTTAGTTTTGTAAGGAGCCGCCAAGCTGACTCCCAAGGTGGCAGCTCCGTTTGCATCCCCGACAGTGACTGAGAGTTCCGGTGGCTCCACGTCCTCGCCGGGACTTGGTGCTGTCAGTGTTCAGATTTTGGCCGTTCTAACAGGTGTGCCATGGTAGCTCAGTGTTGTAATTTGTACTCCCTCCACATCACTTCATATGCTTTCTGCCATCTGTTTATCTTTGGTGAAGTGTCCAGGTTTTTGCCCATTTTTAAATCGAGTTGTTTATTTTCTTATTGTTTTTTAAAATTTTATTTTGGATAACAGTCCTTTATCAGGTGTCTTTTGCAAATACTTTTCCCGGTGTGTGGCTCATCCTGTCATTCTTTTGACACGTAGATTTTAGGTTGGCCAGCAGTGGAATGTCTTACATGAGTTCAAGGAATAGCCTTGTACACAGATTTGCCACATCCTTTTTTTCATTCTTATCAAGGGTACTTTGAACCTGCTTGATTCGATGTTCCGTCTTTTTACGCTCTTGGTCCAGAGGCTGATATTGTTTATTACATGCTGCCGTGGATCTGGTTCCCTGGCTCCTGTGTCATCTTTGCCACGGTCACGTGAGAGCAGCATGCCACTGGTGATGGAGAGGCCTGTGCTAGTAAGTGTTAGGCAGGCTTAGTAGTTAATGTTGGCAGTTAACAGCTGATGACGTTTTAGAAAAACGTTAGTAGTCGTAGTGGATTTTTCAAGGGCAGGGGTACCTGCTTTAAATGGTAGGGGTGCAAAACAAACCGCTGTTGCATAAATCAGCCGCCATAAGCATTTCCCACACACCGATGCACACTGCATGTGCACGTGTGCACATGGCAGGGCGTGAAAGGAACAGGGCGTGTTTAAGTCACCACGCAAACGTGTGTGAATGCCTCTCACCACCTTTCAGGAGGCGTGCGTTGGTCACTGACTGTCATCGTCGTATTATTGAATATTGTGAATCCAGGAGACTCTCAGGTTTGCCCTGAAGCTTGGGGCGCATGTCACAGATGACTCGGCAGTCACCTTTTGGATGACATTCCATTCACAGCCTGCTTTTCCACATAGCAAATTGTAGGAAGTCACATGTTTTGGCATCAGTTACCCTGAAATTAGAAACAGGACAATAGAGGAAGTTGTTGATTGGAACAATTGCCGTTTCACTTGTCTAAGAGCATCTGCAAATCGTAAGCAAATTGTTGTCGCCGAGTTGTCATCTGTCCGTCGCCGGAGCAGGCTGCGGAGGGAAGCCCCACACTGGGGAAGACTGTCCTGAAAGTTCCCCTGACCTTTGGGCCAGAAGATGCTGGAATAGGTCACAACTTCAACTTCTGAATGCTTTGCAGCAACAGCTGGAGAGGAGGCTCTTGGGAATACGACATGGCCTGAGCTTCCGGGAAGCACAGTCTGATCTTTCTTAAGTTGCTTCAGCGTGTGGTCTACTTTAGTTTGGCCATTTGAAATCGGGCACTTGAGAAGAAAACATGTTGATGTTTTCAGGTATTACAGTTAATGCTCTAGCATTTATAGAAAATGGTTTCCATACAGAAAACAATTTGCATGCTATAAGAAGATTACTTCCTGGATATCATTTTATGGGCAGTAAACTTGGTTTTATGGTATCCGATTGTTCCTTTAAATGGGATGACATGCCCCGCCTGCGCTTGGCTAATGGGAGAGCAGCCCTACAAGCCCCTCCCCTCCCCTCCCCTCCCTAAATGGAAGGGGCCCTAGAAATAGAGGAAGTGGGGGGTGGGCTATAAAGGGAAGCATTTCAAACTCTTTTTCAGAGTCTTTGCTCCCAGGAAAGGTAGGTGCAGCCATGTGCCACATGGGTCCTTTTGTGTCCCTGAACAAATACTGTAGTTTAGTTAAATTCAGACCGAGAGGGACCCGAGATCGTTCTCTGAGGAGGTGAGCGGTTCGGTGAGCTCTGGAGCAGGAGCATAGTCCTCCATGAGCTGGGACGGGGACGAGTCGTATTTTGGTTAGTAGAGTCGTTATATTGATTATAGTCTTTTGTCCATTTTTAGACAGTTAAGAATTAGGTTATCCAATCAAATTAGAAAGATAAGTAGCCTTAACTTTGTGGAAGGAACACACAGGAGGAGGGACAGGGTGGCATTGGCCCTCATGGGACAGGGTGACACTGCAGCCCACAGCTCTTAGTAGTTCCCACTCAGCTGATTTATAAAGTCCATGGAATCTCAGTAAAAATACCAACCGAGTTTTTCACCCCCACCCCGGAGCTTGTCAAGCTCTTAAAGTTTATGTGCTCATAAAGTTCCAGCAAAGGAACACGCAAGAATAAGTGAGAAAAGGCTGGGAAAGGAACCTCCGGAGGACCTGCTGCACAGAGACGCAGACAAACCAGACGCCCTTTTCCTCCCGGCAGTATGGCGTGGGACCCAGGCAGACGGCACGCTGGTAGAACAATAGGAAATTGAGAAACAGACACAAGGACAGATGAAAATTTGATCTGTGATGAAATCTCAAAGTGGGGGGATGGACTTTTAAAGAAATCACAGACAGCTGGCCGTTGTGGGTCCGGGGTCTGAAATGTGCCCACTAGAGTTTTGCTGGAAGTGAAGGGCCAGCGTGAACTGTCTGCAGCCCGTGTGCGTGGCCCGAGCAGAGTCTTTGTGGACCTCGCTCCTGCTCTCACGTCAGAACTGGCCGGTCCGTTGCCCCAGGGATGTGGGCCGAGGCCCTGTCGCCCGGCTGTGGCTTTCTAACAGAAGTGTTTGCGCTGCCTCTTCTGGCCTTGACCCTTGGTCCTCCGGCTCTCCTTTCAGGATGGCCAGTGCCTGGGCCAGGTCACCATGGTCCTCTCCTCTCTCTCCCTCCCCAGCACCCATACTCACTCCTGGATGGAGCCACGACCCTTATTTCTAAGTGTTTGATGCTTAAACTAGATTTTTAAGTGGTTTTGTGGCATCCCTAAAATGCTTATGAAATCCCCAGGGCTTTGTAGAAAAGGACCGTGTGGTCACAGTGGCTTTGCCCGATGGTGCCTGCTGACGGGCAGTTGGGCGTGATGTCCAGGTGCCCGGCTGTAATCCGGGCTCGTCATGCCAGCACCTATCTGTGAGGAAATCCAGTGTTTGCTGGTAGTTCAGCCTTATTTAAAATTACCCTTTGGAAAGTTGCATCCGTGCTTTCAAAAAGCTTAGCTTGCTCTTGGAAACTTGATAACTTGTGTGGTGTTTCCACCCTAGCCTGAGAGCACTACACGAATAAGTGGTTCACTTGGAACCCACTCGCTGCTGCTGAAAACCAGCGTGACCAAGATGCTAACATCATCTGTCGTTTCCGTCAATCTAGATGACAGTGGAGTCCCGTGTAAAACCCGCCCACTGTGCCCTGCCTTTGCGCTGCTTGACGGAGGGAGGCCAGCTGTGTTAATGCCTAGACTTCTTGAGTAACAGGTAAACCCTATACCACACTCACGCCATTTCACGAGAACTTGGTCAGGCCCGACCCTGGTGTCATCATTCATTCGTTCGTTCATTCAGTGACCTTCCTGGGCTCCTGCCGTGTGGCCAGGCGCAGTGGGGTTTGAGAACAGAAGAAGGCTGGGTGCTGGCATCTCCCACAGATCCTGGGCAGGGCTGTATGACCCAAGGACAGGGGCTGGGAGAGCCTTTGACAAGAGGGAGTCGGGTCTCCGGGGAGGGCAGGGCCTTGAGAAGGGTTTTCTGGGGCTCAGTGTGGCTGGAGTGACGGAGGGAGAGGCAGGGGGCAGGGAGGAGAGACTGAAGGCCACGGGGATGGGCAGAAGCCACCCAGAAGCAGCGTCAGGACCGGGACGAGACCTCAGACTGGGTCCCCAGCAGACCTCTGCCCTGTCCCAGCCCCTGGCAGACTCCCCTCTTTGAGAGGACCGCGGACTTGGGAGCTGTGTGTATGTCTGGAAATGCAGCTTCCTGGGCCATTGGCTATCTTGGCAGGACTCTCTGTAGGAACCAGACCCTGCTAGCCAGTTTGGTGGCTGTGACCAGCTGCTCAGTAGCTGCCCACCCCTGACCGTGCGGAAGACGACATGATCGGAGGCCGCTGGCCCTCGAGAAGGCCACTGAGCGTAGACCGTCCAGCTGCTCGCTTCTGTTCTTTTCACCTTGTGTTTTCACAGCCAATCTAGGAGCATTTTTAGACGTACGATAGGGAACCCCGACATCAAAGTGGAGCTCTCCCTTTGGGAGGGGGTCCGATTGTCCTGTCAGTGTGGCTTCCCTCCCTACGTGTCCAGTTCTGTACTCCTCGGCTTCCCCAGGAAAGTCCTGCTTAGGGCTCGAGCGGACTGCTCAGACCTGCCAGTGGGTGGAACCGAGCCCGAGTCTGACGGTGACGCGGGCGGCCATGGCACTTTGTGGGGCCTTCTCGGTGGTTCTTACTCTCTGGAAGATAAGCCACCAAGAAACGCCACTACCTGTGGACCGCTTTTCCCCGGATAAGCCTGGCTTGGAGACCACCTCCTCTTTCTCGGAAGTGTGTGGCTTAGCTCACCTGTCTGTTCTGCTTTGAGTAAAGACCGATTTAGTAAAGAAAACGGTAGTGAAGTTGAGTGTGCAACATCTGGTCTAGTTGATTGATTCAAAATGGAATAGTCGAGGGTTTCAGCATTTTTAAAGAAAACTGTTTTCCTATTTAATAGTAACCTAGAACAGCTTCCCAGTTTTGGCACAGTGACATTGGGCTGGGTCGTCCTCTGCTGTGGGGCGCCCCGTGCTCTGTAGGACGCTGAGCACCGTCCCTGGCCTCCACACGCAAGGTGCAGTAGCACCCCCCATCCATGAGTGACAACCACAGAGGCCGCAGACATTGCCTGTGTCCCCAGGGTGCAGAACTGCCCCCGCATGAGAACCACCCTTAGAATAACTTGAGCGTACTTATTACAGGACGTTATTGCCTAACGCTTAGCTGTTGCCAAAACAGCTGCTTTACTTCAGGCCTGAGTCTCAGGTGGGTAGAGCCGTGGGACGGGGCCATGGGATGGAACTGAAGGGGCTGATGTTTATAATTGAGTCTTTAGGATTTCTTAGAAAATGAATTACTATCGTTCCTGCCAAAAGCCAACTTAGGCTTTTATAAACCTGTCTGGATATACTTTCTTCACATAAAAATGATCCACCTTGTCTGGTGGCAAAAGGCATGTCCAGTCGTTGGCCCTGTTTTGGTGTGAGAATGACAGAAAGGAAGACGGTGACATTGTGTCCCGGGATAGGAAAGGTGGGGGCAGAATATTGGTGATTGTTAACACGGGCTGGTTTCTTTTATAGTATTGGGTTGTCGGAAAAACAAAAAATACGTCATGCCTTTTCCGACAACCCAATGTTTTGTTTACTTAGTATGTATTAGAAATCGTTTCATAATAATGTTTTTTAAAAAAGATTGTAGGAGGCTGACCATTTGGAAACAAGGGTTTAAACTGAGGCAGTAATCGTATGGTAAAGGACGTGGGAAATTTGAGAGAGACCCCATGTAAGGGCCGCAGTGGGGACCGGTGGCGAAATTGGGGGCATTTTCCAAACACCCAGGGAGGACTGCATGGACCTGTGAGTCCCGAGGAAGCGTCAGCTAGTGCAAGAGAGGAACCCCCGGTGGGGAGCAGGTGCCCCAAGGGCAGAGCAGCTCTAGCCTCACCCCCACAGCGAAGCTGGGGACCTGCCATCCCCTCCAGGGCTCCCTAATGAGAGGACTGAGTAAAGACCATCTTCTCCCCGCTGGTCCCTTCTGGGGAGAAGGAGCCAGTCAAGGTCATCTTGGGTTGAGTGAATAGTAACTAGAAATATTTTCTTCTTAAACCGGTTGAACATTTTTGGTCAAGACCCATCTTAGAAGAGGATGTGAGCACCGTTTTGTGGGATTTCACGGTCACCTATTATAATGTATGTCAGATTGAACAGGGTCCAGTGTCCAGCGGCCCAATCTGGAAGGTCCGGTCTTGCCTGGCACAGGGCAGATTGACCTCATTTCTCTAAAACCTCTCCAAGGGGACAGTTCTAGTTAGATCCCAGGCAGTGGGCGCTTTATTGTGTTCGCCCCGGATGGTGAAAACATAGGACTGGGGACAGAAGCCCCCCGACCCCCGTCATGCCATGTGCGGGCTGGGAGTGTGAGCCCATAGACCCGACATTCAGAGCCTGGCACATGTGCACGTGTTTTTCCGGAGTGGGGATAGAACTTTCATGACTGTCAAAAGGGTTTGTAACCCTAAAGGCCAAGGACCACCGCTGTAGACAGCCCACACCTCTTCCCCCATTCAGGTGATGGGATCCCCACTCCTGCTCCGCCCAGCGCCCCCCTCGCCATTTCCTCTGTCCCCCTCCAGGCAGCCTCTCATTTGATTTTTTAGTGTCTCCGTGTCCCCAGCCTCTCTACCCTGGTCCCCAATGTGTCATTCATGGCCTCACGCCTTCCCTGCTTGGGGCTCCCCCACCCCAGTTCCCTGGTCCCCTGAGCTGGAGACTGTCACTGCAAAGACGAAACTCTGAGCTCTTTTCTGCCTCCTCTGATCCGCACCCCGCTGTGGTCCCCATCTTTATCCTACCCCCAAGATGAAATGCCACGTAAGAAAATGGTGTTTTCTCTAGCAGTTAGGGCAGTTTTTGTTTGTTTGTTTTTCCACAGAGCACCCAGCGGGCTGAGGTGGTCGGAGGTGTGTGGGTGGCGGCCGCGGGCGCAGGCCCCCGCTGACTGCGGGCTGGTTTTCCTCTTTTGCAGATCAGCCAGTCGCTCGATGGGGAGCAAAGGCGGACCGCCTTGTGGTGTCACCTCCCCACCCCTCTGTAGCAGGAGAAAGAACTTCAGCACCTCCTCAGTCATAATGATGAAACTGGTATTAACTGAATGGCAATTATGGATTTTTAACTCTAGTTCACAGTAAACCAGCAAGCCATATGTTTAAAATCCAACCAAAAATCGTTCTGTTTGCTGCAAGTCGCATCCGATTGTGAGAAGTTGCGAGCCACCTGTTCGTACAAAGAGGAATATAAGTATTACTTGCTGGCGGAGCACAACAGAAGCAGAAAGAGAAGACGTCTTAATTTATCCTTAAAAATATATGATAGTATTATTTATATAGTTAGAGTAAATATATATATATATATATATATACATATATATATATACACACACACATATATATTTTTGGTGGTGATGAGAATGGCTCCGCAGAATGCCGACTCGGAATCTATGCAAGTTCAGGAGCTGCCCGTGCCCCTGCCGGACCTGCAGAAGCCCAGGAGCTCGGAGCCGGAGCCGCGGGACGAGACCGTCAGCGAGGGCTCCATCGACCGGATCCCTGTGCGCCTGTGGGTCATGCACGGGGCCGTGATGTTCGGCCGCGAGTTCTGTTATGCCATGGAGACGGCCCTGGTCACGCCAATCCTGCTGCAGATCGGTGAGTGCGGTCCACCCCACCTGCCTGCGTGGTCCTGGCTCTGAGCAAACCCCGCGCGGAACACGCCACACGGGCTCACAGGGTCCTCAGGAGCCCTGGGGACGCGCGTGCTGGTCTTACCTCCCTCCCTTCACCCTACTCCGACTTCACCTCCTCCTCTTTTAAACTGGAGCATGGGAGGGAGCGATCCTCGGGTGTTGATGCGAAATTAGGGGTTGGGGCGACTGCAATCGACATCGGTCAGCTCCGACTGGATGTGCGGCCCTCTCCCGAGGTACCCACGGCCTTGCCCCAGCCCTTCTGGACACGGTCAGCAGCGGTGACATCCTGGGTGAGCCGGGCACCCTCCCTGCCTGTGGCTCATGGCCCTTCTCTGGAAGGTGAGGGTCAGCGCAGACCAGCCCCGTCAGGCAGAGGCAAGCCCTTAGAGCAGTGCCTGGCAGTGGGAAACCATGAATAGTGCTGTCTTATTATCGCCTCACTGTCACTGTTACTGCTGACCTAAGTCTGAGCTTACTGTGGCCCTTAGGTGGCTGAATGGTGGGCATTTCCAGAATCCTGGACTCGGCCACACTGGCGTCAGCAGTACAGCCTAGTGTGCAACAGAGCTGGCGTTCCTTCCAGACCTGGGTGCCTCAGGCCCTAAGAATTTCATCAGTGTTTAATTTCTGTAGTGTCTAAAGAAGTTTCAAAATCTGTAATTTTCCAACTTATGAGAGATTTGGGGAAGGGGCCGAGGTATTTAAAAGCTTAGTTTCATTCCAGGATTTCATGTGGTGCTTGGTAAAATATTCTAAAAACCTGCTTATTTTGGTCATTGTAGGAATGTTTCTTTCTCCAATCTTCATAAATTATTCAGTGAGCCTTAACTTGGCCCCACTGTGTGGCTCAGTTAGTTAGGTGAAAGCTCTGCAGCGTTTCCTTCCGCTGCGAGTGGGCAGTGGCCCCGGGTCCTCTGAGCACAGATTGGTCTCCCATTACAGCGGTAGGCGGTGTCCCGAAGCCGCTTGTACCGAGATTGTTTGAATCGCGTAGTTACTGTTCCCACCTTGCGTCTGCCATGTAACACTTGAGTAAAGAAGCAGGCATAGCCATCTCTGTGTTTAGGCTGCTGCACATAAACATGCTCTTCCCTTTGTCATGTGTTTTATTTTTCATCTTTAAAAGTGTTGTCCTGAAAAAAAAAAGTGTTGTCCTGCGCAGGCTCCCTAGTGGTCCCTCACACCAGTCCACCCCTCCCAGCAGCCACCACTAACCTGCCCCTGTCACAGTGGCCCTTTCTGGAAATTTGTGGCAACGGAATTTCCAGTATGTGGTCTGGTCTCTGACTTGGCGTAGAGCTTTTGTGACAGAGCCGCCCGGCTCCCCGCAGGAGTCAGCCCTTCGTTGCAGTTTAATGCTGATTTATTGCTGACTCTTAGTCCCCTGAACGACACGCCTCCTTTGTCTACCCATTCCTCAGCTGGGAGACCTCTGGGGCCGCGGTAAATCTGCTCAGAGCACCACACACACACAGACACACACACACACACACACACACACACACACACACACACACACACACACACACACACACACACACACACACGTCTTGGTGTGGACAAGTTGCGTTTCTTGTGCGTTCCAGACCTGGGGTGGGGCTGCAGGGCCTTGTGCAGGGTGCAGGGTTACTTTCATAAGAAGGGGCCGTTGCCGCCAGTCCTGCGGGAGCCTGTTTCCCCACGTCCTCCGCATACTTACGTTTCCTAACGAATACAGGGGGCCCTCCGTGTAACCAGGGGCCACTGAGGGACCTGAAAAGCATCCTCGGATTTTGGTACCCAAGAGTGGGTCCAGAACCAGCCCCCATGGATACCGGGGGACAACTACTGGTGTTAACATCTTTTCATGTGCTTTCTTGGCATTCATAAATCTTCTAAGGCAGCGGTTCTCAACCTGTGGGTCACGACCCCTTTGGGGGTCGAACGACCCTTTCACAGGGGTCGCCTAAGACCATCGAAAACAAAAAGATATTTACATTACGATTCATAACAGTAGCAAAATTACAGTTATAGAGTAGCAACGAAAATAATTTTACAGTTCGGGGTCACCACAACATGAGGAGCTGTATTAAGGGGCCGCGGCCTTAGGAAGGTTGAGAACCGCTGCTCTAAGGGGAAGTGTGTTTCAGATTTTTTGCTGATATTTTAATTAGGTTGTTTTTCTTACTGTGTTGCAAGAGTTCTTTGTTATTTTTTTTTATTTTTTAGCTGAGCCATCCTGCCACCTGTTGGCAGCTCAGTGGCTGCTCAGCTCGGGCCAGGACTCGAACCGCTGTTGCTCAGAGCTCAAACTCTTGAGCGAGCTCTTAACCAACTGAGCCACTCGGCCGGCCCTGAGTTCTTTGTTATTCTTGAGAAACATCCTTTATCAGATTTTTTTTTCAAGTGTTTTACTCCAGTCCGTGATTTCCTTTTCATTATGTTTAGTGGTATGTTAAAATCAAAAGGTTTAAATTTAGATGAAATCTAGCATGTCATTGCTTTTTTTTTTTTCAATTCTTTCTTTGTTTGTTTTAACTAAGAAATCTTTGCCTGACCCAAGGTCATCATGGTTTTCTCTTAATGTTTTCTCCTACGTGTTTTATAGTTTTAGCTCTCACATTTAGGTTTGTGACGCATTTTGAATTTTTGTGTACAGTAAGAGTAGAAGCGCCCACCCCCCCGGCATATAGAAATCCAGTCGTTCCAGTGCCATTTATAGAAAGACTGCCCTTTTCCCATTGAATTCCTTGGCATCTTTGTCGACGATAAATGGACCATATATATATGAGTCTGTTTCTAGCCTCTGCTCTGTTCTAGCCATTGACCTATTCGTCTGTCCTCAATACCACAATGCCTTCACTACTATAGTTCTATTCTTCATCTTAAAATTAGGAAATGTAGGGTCTTGGCCTTTATTGTACTTTTTAAAATGTGTTTTGGCTGTTTTAGTTCCTTCACATTTCCATGTGCAGCTTAGAATTAGTGTATCAATTTCTACCAAAAAGCCTGTTGGGTTTTTTATTGGGATTGCACTGAATCTATAGATTACTTTTGAGAGAATTGACATTTTAATATTGAACCCTCCAATCTATGAACACGGTCTATCTTCTCCATACATTTAGGTCTTTAATTTCTCCTAGGAATGCTGTGTAATTTTCAGTATACAGGTTTCACACAGATTTTAAGTTTATCTCTGAAGTGTGTAATTGTGTTTTGCTATTGTACTGTTTTAACTTTAATATCTGATTGTAAATCACTGTATATGGAAATATAAAAATATTTGTGTATATTGACCTTGCATCCTGTGATCTGGCTAAACTGGCTTATCATTTCTGGTAGCTTTTGATGTCGATAAGGTCTGTAGTGATGCGCCCTCTTCCTGATCCTCGTCATTTGCATCATCTCTCTATTCCTTTATCAGTCTTGTTAAATATTTATCAATTTTATCCATCTTTTCCAAGACTCGGTTTTTTATTTCATTGATTTCTCTATTGTTTGTCCTTTTCCTATTTCATTAATTTATGCTCTTCGTTTTTTTTCTTCTGCCTACTTTGGTTTTAATTTACTCGTTTTCTAGTTTCTTATAGTCAAGCTTAGAACACTGTGTTTTAGATTTCTCATTTTTAATAAATAAAATTGCTGTTACCCAGAGGGGTCAGGGAGAAGGCTAGATGGGATCCCAGGGACCCGCGGGGACCATCTGTGGCCAGCAGCCTGTGAGATGGTCCCCAGTGTTCCCCACCGCCTGGTTTTCATGGCCTGCGGGATCCCCTCTTCTTAAGAATTGTCTTTGAACCAACAGACTGTGTCACCAGTGAGAGGATGTCACTTCCTGACTAGGTTACAAGAGCACAGCTTCCATCTGGTCTGAAGGTTCTCTCTTGCCCTCTTGGCTTATACACTGAATTATCAAGCTGCCATGTTGGAGAGACCCATGTGGTCAGAAATTGAGGGGGCCTCCAGCCAGTGGCCAGCAAGGGCCTGAGGCCCTCCGTCTGGGGTCTGCAAGAAACCGAGTCCTTCATCACTCAAGAGGGCAAGCGCTGCCACAGGTGTGCCCTCGCTGAGCCTGAGGTGATTGCCGCGCGGGGCGAGACCTTGAGCCAGACCACCGAGCACAGCGGGGCCCAGGCCTGAGCCACCATGGGGCTCGCGATCTGTCACACAGCAGTGGGTAGCTGAGACACGTGCTCTGCTTATGACAGTTTGTGAATGCCCTGTTTCCTGCTTTGCAGTTAGGAATGTCTCGTATTTCCCCATTACCTGCATATTCATCATTAGGGATGGTGGGGAAGTGCTTTAGATAGATACCCAAGCGTGAAACTTCACGTTGCAATTTGCGTTCTGCAGTATCAAACAATAGCAAGCCTGCCCTTTCTCTTTGGTAAGACTGATGCCCCAAAGAAACATTTCCCACTGAAAATTGAGTACGCTGAAAACTATGAGAAGTAAGTAAGTTCGAACTCTGCCGTAATAGAAATTAGCAGAAAAGTTGTTTTTAAGCCAGGAGCAGCCAACTAAGAGAATTTGCACGTGACAATTCGTCTTGGACAGTTTACTGAATTGTTAAGCTGGCACCATTGGTGGCGAGTGTGCTGGTTGGTATGAGTCAGTATGTTGGCTTCTGTTGTTAACATGCAGTGGCCACCCTGACTGACCCCCAGCGCGCGCAGACGCGGGGCAGTGCCCGCTGTGTCCAAGTCCCTCCTGCTCGCAGCCCATCTCTCGTGACTGGGCTTGGAGCTGGGCTCCTAGGGGAGGCTCACTTTGTGTTTGCAGAACGAATGAATGAACGGATGAGTTGTTGATGAAGGGGAAGTTGACACGTCTTAGACACCCGATATGTCCACATGCTCTTGTCAAAGCCCAGAGATCTGACTCCTTATCTTCTTGGGTGCCGCTTCTGCCCCAGGTGTAGCAAGTCCTCGGCTCGGCCCGCTCGCAGGAGGCGCAGTGACACTGCAGTTGATCAGGGAA